ATATATATATATATATATATATATATATATATATATGACATGTTGTTTTCACACATAGGGTGTTATTTTCGGCTTCAATGTCTGTGCTTATCCTGTCCCTAAACTAGAATGACCATCTTCCGTGGCTCTTTTTCAAATGTGTACTTATTCAGTGGAATCAATAGTGTTGGAGATAATACAACTCAAGATCTTTCTTGATTCTACTTTTCTACCTAGTGTAAACTTTTATGCTACTTTATATTTCTTTGATGACCTCAATTAATTAATTTTGTCTACCAATATATGTTGAATGTGTCTCAAATGCTTGCCTTGTTTTCCCTACAGTACTTTGAACATATGTATCTAATTAAATTAAATTTAATTACTAGTGAGCTCTTTTAACTGTCAGTTTTGTTTTCTTTTTGACATGCTTGTTTTCTGAAAACTCCTATCTGTTCTGATGTGCTTTCTGTGCTCACCAGTTTACATATTGTGTGTAGGCCTATATCTTAGTTTAGTGTTGCAGTAGCAGGCACAGGGACTGGGCAATTTACAAATAATGTTGCTAGTGGAATTCTTTCTTTAAATGATTTTTATGCTGTTGATATAAGTCCCTTAAAATATGTAACTCAAACTTATTAAAAAAAAAAAAACTAGGGTTTTTTTTCCTTTTGTAGATCATACATGTTATGTGTCAGAAATTCAAATGGCACCAAAATATTTACAATATGGCTCTTCTATCCCACTTCTTCCAAGTTGTTACTATGGAGACAATTCCTTTGATCATTTTTTTCTGTAGATAATATCGTTCTAGAGATAGTCTATGTGTGTGTATAGATTCCTTCTATTTTAGACGTAATGGACAATATGTTTATTCATTCAGTTATTGGTCAAAAACTGAAGTGATCATCACTATTATTTGTGGGATTTTATTTTTAATGACTTCAATGAATTCTTAGGCTACAGGAGCAAGGTGATTTAACTTTTAAAGGTAGAACCCTTTCTTATATTCCCTTTACAAATATTTCTTTATGTGTGTAAAATACTTCTCACTTCCATTTGGACTTTTTCTCCTCAGTATTTTGTAAACTGATTGCTTAAGGAATAGTCATGGGACAAGAATTTTTTATCTGTATCTTAATATAGTTTGAAATAATATTTTGGAATAGAATAAGCCTAGAGGCTTTGTCTTACCTAAAATTTTGAAAGTACCAGTCTCGTTTGCTTCGGCAGCACATACACTAAAAATTGGAATGAAACAGAAGATTAGCATGGCCCCTGCAGAAGGATGACATGCAAATTCATGAACTGTCCATACTGGAAAAAAAGGTAGCAGTCATTTCCTCTCTAATCTATTTGACATATGCTAATCATGCATAGTGAAATGGTAAGAGTTTTCTTTCCTTAGAACAGGTTAAACCTAGCACTTAATATAACTTTCCAGATTGTTAGGCACGAGCCTAACACAACGATCTGAAATGTTCTATGTTTTTTAAGAAAGTAATTAAAGGTTTCTAATTCCTTTACAAGGCAGGATCCACAGCACCATTATTTACTGACCAGCCAGAGGAACCTCAGTCAAACACAGCAGATGGCATAGAATTATTTGAAGATAGTCAGCTAACCAGTCGCTCTAAAGCAATAGCATCAAAAACCAAAGAGATTGAACAGGTGAGAATCTTGTTGTTTTCATGCACATAATTTTTGTTTGTGTTGCTTTGCACATGTAAACATTTATTGAATAAATATGCTTCATTTCTTTTTCCACTTGTAATTCTAAAACTACAACTTAAAAAATTATAAAAATTGTTTGAGTTGATATCACAGTTTGATCAGTATGCCCCCCCCAACCTGGATTGTTTATTTTTAAATAAAAAGCAAACTTCTTTTTTATAGAACGCTAATATTCTAGATAGTATGAAGCAACTAAAAATTATTAAATGTAATAGGGATGGGATGGAAGAAGTGTTCGATGAATGGCAAAATGTTAGCAGATATTATTTTTGAATATTGGGATTACAGATGTACTTTATTTTCCAAATGTTAAAGAAAAAATAAAGGATAGTATTTAGGTGTAGTTTTTTAGTGAAGTCATTCTGAAAAGCAGGACTTTGTTTTTAATATGCAACTATTACCTCATAGGGTTATTTAATGAGGATTAAATGAAGTAAATGTGAAAGGGTTTCATAAAATGTAAGATTTTATACAGGGGCTTATTGTGTTGTTAATCTCTAGTGATTTGAATAAATGTCATTGCATTGCTATATAATCTTCTAAAAACTATTGGAAATTAAGAAACAAATGAAAACTTTTCTCTAGGTGCTATCCAGTTTCCACTTCAATTAAATCTCTTTCCTTATGTTAAATAGGGGATGCTCTCAACTCCTAGATGTGACTGTTTAGCTTACATTAATGTCACACTAATGTGAAGAGATAAGAACCAGAATAGGAAATTTGTCATGCAAACCATTGGAGTTTCAAAATGAAGGTGGTCAACAGTATCAGTTACTTATAGGAAAACAAGGAAAATGGGGACTGAGGAAATTCCATTAAATTTGGTGATTGGGAGGCAATTGGTACCTTTCAAGATACCAGTTAAATAAGTGCATAAATAAAAGGTTTGTTCAGCAGAAGTATCTTCAACACGAAGATGAATGTCATTATTTTATGTAAAATTACTGTCGTTTTTTTCCTTATTCTTTTTTATAATTACTTGATATGTTTCTATTTCCTTTTCTTCCCTTACCATAATGGATGCTCTGTGAGAATGAGAAATTTGTTTTGACTTGTTTTATTTACTGCTACATCTGCCATCACCTAGAACAGTATGTAGTAGACTTACAAGAAATACTTGTTGGATGGATGACAGGTGGAGTCATACACCTGCAAGTGACCTTTGAGTTGTCCCTAAGTCACTTGAAATCAGACTACATCTTAACCTGACCCCCTGACATAGTGCCTAGGTCCAGCACTTAGTAGTAAGTACTTTATAAGTGTTTGTTGAATGAAAAATGGTGTAATATTACTTCCCTTTTCCACCTAAATTGCAAGTTGTTTGTTTGTGTTTTTAAGAGTTAGGATCTTGCTCTGTCGCCCAGGCCTGAGTGCAGTGGTGAGATCGTGGCTCATTGTAGCCTCAAATTCTGGGGCTGAAGCATTCCTCCCACCTCTGCCTACCAAGTAGCTAGGACTACAGGCATATGCCACAATGCCTGGCTAATTTTTTTAACTTTTTTTTTGTAGAAATAGAATCTCACAGCCTGTTGCCCAGGCTGATCTCAATCTCGTGGCATCAAGCAATCCTCCTATGTCAGCCTCCCAAAGTGCTGGAATCATTAGGTGTGAGTTGCTGCACTAAGTTGCAGTTCTTTAAAGCAGAGGTTCTCTAAACAATGTAACTGGAAAAAAAAACTGGACTGAAATAACAGGGGAAAGTGATTATTTGGGGTTACTGTTTGGTTGTTTATTTATTTATTTTTGAGATGGAGTCTCACTCTGTTGCCTAGGCTGGAATGCAATGGTGCAATCTCAGCTGACTGCAACTCCTGCCTCCTGGGTTCAAGCAATTCTCCTGTTGCAGCCTCCCGAATAGCTGGGATTACAGGCACACACCACCACAGCCAGCTAGTTTTTGTATTTTTAGTAGAGATGGGGTTTCACCAGGTTGTCCAGGGTAGTATCAAACTGCTGACCTCAAGTGATCCACCCACCTCGGCCTCCCAAAGTGTTGGGATTACAGGTGTGAGCTATGGCACCCAGCCTGGGTTACCATTTATTAATATTTCTGCTATTTTCTATTGTTATTCGTAGATGATCTATTCAGTCTTGAGAAAGTGGGCCACTAGTCAGATGTACAGCCCACCTTAGCATTACACACATAAAATTGTGTAGCATGAAGTCAGTTTTTATGGTACTTTATAGAAATCTTGTATCTGTTTCATCTACAAGTATAATTTTAATTCTGTTTTCATTTGTCCATTGTTCAAGTACATGAAAATGTGACACTGGCACATATTGAGGTTATTATAGCAAAGACGACCTAAAGAAAGAAAAATAAATCTAAAGGGAAATTATTATATTCAGATTTTATTAGGAAAGTAAAACAGCTATTTGAAGTGCTATAAAATAGAAGACTTGATGTTAAACACTGGAGTATGACTACTCTGTTTTTGCTAGGGTACTTTGCTTTTCATATGTTGACAAGAAATCAAAACAAAACCCTGTAAAATGTTAGAAAGCTAGTAAATGATACTTATTTTATAAATTTGTGTCTAGAACTTATGATAATTATTGGAAATGAAAAAGTTTTACAGTTTTTTTTTGTGTCTGTAATTTAGACTCGAACTTGGGATGAAATACCAACTAGGTAAGAAAATTTAAAGATTTGACAAAACCAGATATCCAGTAATTATTCTTCTTTTAATATACTTGAAATATTTCATACTTTTTTAAAAAAGTAATTAACAAAAAAGCCCGGCATGGGTGTGGCCAGCAAATTAAACTAGGATAACATAGAAATGTAAATATTACTGTAATACTCAAGCTGCCGTTTCTCCCTGTTTCAAGTGCAGTATGTTCCAGTATTTTATAAAGATAAATTACAATATATAATTTTGTGGGGATTTCTATAAATTAGGTCTCTCAGTCTACTGAATCCCAAGAAAGTCATTAATTTGAGGAAATACTGTAACATAAACTAAGTCTACAGGGCACAATTTGTTTTAACCCAAAATGCCCACAGATGCCTCAGTTCTTGATGTTCAAAGGCATGTTTATGGAGGTGGATTATATCAGAATCACTTCAATGAAGGGGGCTAATGTATGTCTTTTGCCATATTGTCACTGTCTCATCCCTGAGCATTTAAGAATTGTATTAGGGTTAGGGGTGCAGGCGACTTTTGAAAAAGCTGCCTAGATTATAATCAGATATAACTGAGAACCACTAGTCTAAAATTCTTAATCCAGAAAACACCAGGTTGCATCTCTGAAATATTGTATTGCTAGAGATGAGTCATTTTTAATCATTCCACTTTTATTTGAATGTCCTTTGGATATGATCTACTCTGTTACCACAACACAATTAGCCTCTTCTTCCCGTTTTCCCAGATTATCTTCCCTTACCTCAGTTGGGCTGTCTTTAACACTCACTCACTGGGCTATTTTCACAGCCTTTCTGGCTTCTGAGCTTAAACAAATTTCAAAATGTTTCCTATCAGTATGATAATTCCTAGAGAGACCCAACCTACAAATTTTTGTGTGATATATACTCTTGTTCACGGGTGTGGCATTAATCTCTTGATTGCAATAATCCTGCAAGGCCTCCCATACCTACTATTTGACTTGAAAGTGTATGCCACTATTTGCTATCTTACCAGTGAGAATTCTTCTTCTTCTTCTACTACTACTTCTTCTTTCTTCTTCTTTCTTTTCTTCTCCTTCTCCTTCTCCTTCTCCTTCTCCTTCTCCTTCTCCCTCTCCCTCTC